GAAAAAAATATTCTTATTGACTGACGGTTTAAAAAAAGATAGTGAGTATTAATTATGCTGTTTGCTATAATCTCGTAAGCAGCACTCAATATGTGAGCCCAATGGGATGAAACATTACTGATATAAGTAATAAGCAGGTATTATATAAAGAGTAACAGAAAACACAGGGCATTACCTGTAACAAATGTATCTGGCGCTTGCTTACAAATCCCTACATAATGCTGCTCCAACAGACCTATCTTCCCTCATACACAAGTATGTCCTGTCGAGACCCCTGCGCTCAGCCCAAGACCTACTCCTATCCTCTGCCCGGATCCCCACCTCTGATGCTCGCCTTCAAGACTTCTCCAGGGCTGCACCTATTCTGTGGAACTCCCTTCCCTCCTCAATCAGACTTTCACCCAGCCTCCATTCCTTCAAAAAATCTTTGAAAACTCACTTCTTCATTAAAGCGTATCAATTAAACTGTCAGCAGGTTTCTCATCCCCCACCCCATGACTCCGTTCCTTCACCTGTCAAAAATGACCTACCAAGCACTCAATAAACCCTTCTGTAGCAAACTATTTAATTCCCCTACTTTAACCCTTTGTGTCACTATACCCCACTCCCTCTAGCATGTAAGCTCATCGAGCAGGGCCCTCAACCCCCTCTGTTCCTGTACGTCAGTGGTCTGATCTCAATTATGTGTCTGTTAGTCCACCCATTGTACAGCGCTACGGAATTTGTTGGCGCTATATAAATAATACAATAATAATAATAATAATAACAAGGTTTCAGTTAGATGAGTAGAGAATCAGCAACCCTTGCTGAATCAAATTATACAGACAATTGGAATAAATTGTTCATTCCATTAAAGTGTGTGCACTTTCCACAGTGCCACCTACTGTTCGAGTTTAAAAATCACTATCACTATATATGATAACTATGCTACAACTGCAACAACTCTTCTAACATCACTTGAGTTCATCATATCATTTTCATCCTGTAATGCGGTTGTCAATGTTTGATCCCTTGGCAATTATTTGCTTAGGGCAAGTGTAGTCATCTCTCGACAGACATTGTTCTCGATGTCATTAGCTCCTTGCTCTTTCAAGTCCTCAAGGTAGTTAGTGCTAAAATGTATCCATTTGATCTGTGCCAACTTTAAAATATCCTTGATTATCATCAATAACTGGCGTGGGACGTGTCAGGTGTCCAATCTAATATCTAGAAGTAACTAAACTATTGCAACTGCTACCTGACAAGTGCTTGCTGCTGCAGCTGTATATTTTGCTTCAGTAGAAGAAAATGCCAAGTCTGTGTCTGATTCCTTCTCCATACTGAAGGACGTAGCTACTTGTAGAGTTACAATCTGTGTTGTACCCTCTCAGATCAGCATCTACATATGTAGCTTTGGATTTAATATTGCTGGCAGTCATAACTTCATTTTGATTGTTCTATTTAAATGCTGCAGTGTTCTTTTTACATCAGGCTTCCCCAAACGCGGCCCTCCAGATGCTGCTGAACTACAACTCCCATGATTCTATGAAAGAAATAGATAGGCGGAGAATCATTGGAGTTGTAGTTCAGCAACATTTGGAGGGCCAGAGTTTGGGGAAGCCTGTTTTACATGATCCAGGCCATGGTGGTAGGGAAATATAACTTTCTATTTATCTTTTTCATTCCTTCCTCATTCCTTAGTGTTCTACTGGCACATCCTAAATTTCCCCCTCATTCTGTTTTGTTTTTTAATAAAATTATTATCTTAATTCAAGTGAAAATATATAAAAACAAGAAAACACCCAGTATAGAAACTCTTTCAATGAGTTTCCCTTCTATGTATGTTTTATATATACAGTTTGTCTTATATATTATCTTAATTTGTTGTTGTTTTTTAAATAATGTTTCCTTTTAAATATGTTCTAGCCCTGGAAGCACTCCGACTGGCATAATAATAATATTAAGTATATATTGTGCAGTACACGGATAGGAGAACTTTCCCCCATTTGGTTCACAGATCAAGTTAAACAAAGTAGCCAAGAGAGGAGAAATATTAGGATCAGTAAAAATGTGTGATCTGTAAATACAATAAAATAAATAGTGACTATCCCCTAGCCATCAATCTTGATTTTCCAATTTCTGCTCACTGCTCACAGGTTAATTAATAAACGTCAGATCTTTATATCCATTTAGCTGGTGGGTACCTACAATCCTAGGGCTCACACCTTCAGTGGGACTTTATTGCAGCATCAAAGGAATGAATACACAAGGCTTTGGCTTCTGCCTTTATCATATATGTTTAATGATATACATGATTAAGGCAGTAGCTGAAACCTTGTATTTTTATTTCTTTGATGCTGCGACAACGTTCCTTTGAAGACAAGTTGGTGAGCCTCATCCAGTATACTTTTGTTACACTTTTGCTCGAAGTTCAGAAATTTCGAATAATCACCGACCTGCCCAAATTGGGACCAGTCTAGTTTCATATACATCCCACCAATAACTTTAAAACAAAGCACTTTTCAAAAATATAAATGAAATCTCCAATAATTGTAAAAATGCACAAAACTAACACAAACAATAACTTGAGATTTATGTCAGATTTGCATTTCACTGGTAGATTTCTTTATTGATTTTAACTTGGTAAATTTGTGAGTTTGCTAACTGGTAGGCTGTTCTATATTTGCAGAACAGAACTTGGACAATTGTAAAGCGTTTATCCCATGGCAATAAGATTTGAGAATTAACCAAATTCCAATTGCTGGGCTCATGTTCCGATGTTAGATTCCTGATATTTGTAGGTTTACTGCAAACTTAGACTACTCAAACTCAAGTGAGCAAAATATAACAAACTACACAAATAAAATAAGCATCATTTATATATTTTAGAAAATCACCAAATCTTCTTCTTTATAAAGCATAGCATAATTGCAGTTACCATGAGCATAGTGAAAACTTACAGGCAGACAGGCATTTCTTTGAAAACCAACCAAAAAAAACATCAAACTTAACTTTAAGAAAGTGATTTAAGCTTTTCAACTCACACAGAGACACGGTTTGAACTTTAAAAATATTTATTACCTGTGAGACCTACTTTCCACCTCATATAATTAAATGACAACACGGGTTGTTTCATTATAAATACCAATCAAAGGTTGCCTCTTTTTACAGAGGAGTGTGTATAACAAAAGTGCTCAAAAGAGTCAAAAAGTGATTTACAGGCAGCTCAATACACTAGTGTGGAAATATCCTCTATTCCACTGAATAAATTTAGTAGATATTGGTGCGGTGTAAGTGACAAGGACCTACACCTATAAGTGGAGCGCTCAAACACAGATAAATCTTACCAAAACGTAGTCTCATTCAATGGTAAAATATGGGGTACATGTCAACATAAAATACAAAAAATACAATATAGTGTAGACGGTACTAAAAAATGGCTTCACAGTGATTATAATAATATTGTGTTGAATATTACACTCACATTTCAAGGAGCCTGTATATAGAAAACACTGGCTCCGTATAAAGGCTTGTGTGCTGTTATGGTAGCACCACCCTCCTACTTCGGCTTGAAGAATTTCTCAGGAACACGAAAAAAAGAGAAGAAAGCAAACCAATGTGTAGACTTATGGTGATAGATGGCACAGATATGTGTTCAATAAATGGGGTGCTCACCTGGTCCTGAGCCTACGAATCCCGGCTCTAGGTATGTGGATTTTGTGCCAGTTTGAATGGGGATGGCACTACCCCTGTGAGGATTCCTTGGAGGCTCCAAAAGGAACTTGGATGAGGTATTGAATAAAAATGGTGAATTTATTAGTTTAAAATAAACATAAAAACAAAGATGATAAAAGTCCTCAAATAAAAGTCCTTTAAAAATGGCCAATACGCGTTTCACTCTCAAATAGAGCTTCTTCAGTCAGCTGTAATGTTGGTCCTCTGAATCCTCCATTTTAAATGTCATCTGGGTCTTCCCCTTTAATGAGTTAAGTTCATTCTGTCCAATCAGATTCAATTTCACATAATGTGTGTGTATGTGTGTACCTTTAATAGGTTAATGATGTTGACGCCTTTATTTGTCTATTTTTTCATTGGTAGGCAGCATTGGTTGGCGGAAGTGCTTGTTTTCAACTGGGTGGTTGGCGGAAGTGACGTCATCTAATCATGTGATCGCCATCCAGCCAAATAAAAAACAAAAACAAAAAAAACAAACAAAAACAAAACAAAAAACAAAAAAAACAAAACAACCAATGGGCAGCATTGGTTGGCGGAAGTACTTGTTTTCAACCAGGTGGTTGGCGGAAGTGACATCATCTAATCATGTGATCGCCATCCAGCCAAGAAAAAAAAAAAATAAAAAAAGGCAAAAAGGGCTGCAGAATTGAAATGACAGTAAAATTGCATAATGTCAGATATTACATTCCCAGTGATAAAATATAATTTGTGGTGCATATAGACTAATATATTTACATTGTTAAAGGTGCATACAGTGCCGATGGTACATATATTTTTATACATTAAAAAGGTGATATTACATACATATGTGCTGGAATAGATATCCTTATTGGGTATTTTCCCAAAAGGTGGTTAAATCAATCTTCTTTAAGTGGTATTCACAATGTTTATAAGTTTGGGCATAAATAATATGCCACTGATTGAAAATGAATAAGAAAAATGTATAAAAGAAAAACAAGGGTACAAAAGAGTAGAGTGGATTACAATGGATAAATTCCATTGAACCCCAAAAAAAGGGAGATACCCATTTAAATGAAATGGCAGAGTTCGAAGTCTATATTCAAACCCCGGGGCTTTAAGGTCCCGAGGTTGAATATCCACCTCATCTCACTCTGTCCCAGTAATTTATTAAGGTCGCCTCACCGCCAATTCCCCTTAACCTTTTGTATACCCATAAAGAGTAATTGAGTGGGATCACTATTGTGGGCTAGGGTGAAGTGGTGTGATACACTGTGTCCTTCAAATTTTTTCTTTATATTTCTAGTGTGTTCCTCAATCCTAGTGTGCAAATTCCGTTTGGTGCGTCCCACATATTGCGGTTTAAAATATGTGGGACGCACCAAACGGAATTTGCACACTAGGATTGAGGAACACACTCAATTTACTCTTTATGGGTATACAAAAGGTTAAGGGGAATTGGCGGGGAGGCGACCTTAACAAATTACTGGGACAGAGTGAGATGAGGTGGATATTCAACCTCGGGACCTTAAAGACCCGGGGTTTGAATATAGACTTCGAACTCTGCCATTTCATTTAAATGGGTATCTCCCTTTTTTTGGGGTTCAATGGAATTTATCCATTGTAATCCACTCTACTCTTTTTGTACCCTTGTTTTTCTTTTATACATTTTTCTTATTCATTTTCAATCAGTGGCATATTATTTATGCCCAAACTTATAAACATTGTGAATACCACTTAAAGAAGATTGATTTAACCACCTTTTGGGAAAATACCCAATAAGGATATCTATTCCAGCACATATGTATGTAATATCACCTTTTTAATGTATAAAAATATATGTACCATCGGCACTGTATGCACCTTTAACAATGTAAATATATTAGTCTATATGCACCACAAATTATATTTTATCACTGGGAATGTAATATCTGACATTATGCAATTTTACTGTCATTTCAATTCTGCAGCCCTTTTTTTTTTTTCTTGGCTGGATGGCGATCACATGATTAGATGTTGTCACTTCCGCCAACCACCTGGTTGAAAACAAGTACTTCCGCCAACCAATGCTGCCCATTGGTTGTTTTTTTTTTTTTTTTATTTGGCTGGATGGCGATCACATGATTAGATGACGTCACTTCCGCCAACCACCCAGTTGAAAACAAGCACTTCCGCCAACCAATGCTGCCTACCAATGAAAAAATAGACAAATAAAGGCGTCAACATCATTAACCTATTAAAGGTACACACATACACACACATTATGTGAAATTGAATCTGATTGGACAGAATGAACTTAACTCATTAAAGGGGAAGACCCAGATGACATTTAAAATGGAGGATTCAGAGGACCAACATTACAGCTGACTGAAGAAGCTCTATTTGAGAGTGAAACGCGTATTGGCCATTTTTAAAGGACTTTTATTTGAGGACTTTTATCATCTTTGTTTTTATGTTTATTTTAAACTAATAAATTCACCATTTTTATTCAATACCTCATCCAAGTTCCTTTTGGAGCCTCCAAGGAATCCTCACAGGGGTAGTGCCATCCCCATTCAAACTGGCACAAAATCCACATACCTAGAGCCGGGATTCGTAGGCTCAGGACCAGGTGAGCACCCCATTTATTGAACACATATCTGTGCCATCTATCACCATAAGTCTACACATTGGTTTGCTTTCTTCTCTTTTTTTCGTGTTCCTGAGAAATTCTTCAAGCCGAAGTAGGAGGGTGGTGCTACCATAACAGCACACAAGCCTTTATACGGAGCCAGTGTTTTCTATATACAGGCTCCTTGAAATGTGAGTGTAATATTCAACACAATATTATTATAATCACTGTGAAGCCATTTTTTAGTACCGTCTACACTATATTGTATTTTTTGTATTTTATGTTGACATGTACCCCATATTTTACCATTGAATGAGACTACGTTTTGGTAAGATTTATCTGTGTTTGAGCGCTCCACTTATAGGTGTAGGTCCTTGTCACTTACACCGCACCAATATCTACTGTTTCATTATAAAGCCTTCAGAAAAAAAAACAAGCCTCAAACATTTAGTGAGTTAGAATTAATTAAACACACACTTTAAAATGAATCTCAGCTAAGACTGTCTCTGCTATCAGTATAAACAAGGCAGTATCTCAGCTTCATTACAGCCTCTATTTGTTGAGTTTGTGCTTTGACCAGTTACTAAAGATAAAAGGTTTAGAGGCAGTGCTTACTGTAGAGGACACAGTGGTATCACTAGTAGATGGTTCTAAATGAGTCTGATACATTCTGTTATGTTCAGAACTGACACAGAAGATACATGTGAGATCTCCCAAGATTTCTACAAACACTACTGTTTGAAGAGCATTATCTTTATAACGATTAGTTATAAGGAGATTATTATTCTTTATGTAGCACTGACGTATTCCACAACCCTCTACAATTCTAGAATGGGGATAATTGACACTAGCAAAACATAGCTGACGTACAAAATATTAACAGAGACAAAAAGGTGGAGAAGGCCCTGTGCTCACTGCGCCCACAATTTTGTCATAGAGAACCATTGCATGCAATGATTCTCTATAGAAGACCCTGATGGCAATGCTGGTGTATGAGGGTAACATCAAGGTAAGCTAGGGAATGCTCTCAAACCCAGAGGGCTCAGAGTCATGGGCTGAAGTCATACTTCCAAGCCTTCAAATTAATAACCTATTGATCTTTGGGGAAGCTTAGGAGAGGGGAACAAATGAAGGCACTATAATAACGTCATTTAAATCAAGTTGTTATAGTGAGTACAGTGTTCCGTTAATGCAGACTTCTGTCTTAGCCAATGTAAACCAAATATTTTTGCTTTTCTCTGGTTCAACTGAAATGTTCAAATGATCTATATGGTTGTCTAGAGTATTGAAAAAGTGTTTTACTTTACAGAAATCCATTTCCTGAATGTGAATAATCCCATTGGGATACAGATCTGTTTTAATCAGAGTCAGGGCTGATCCTGGGCAGGTGCACAGGATGAGGTAGAAGGAAGGACACACTGAGAAGAGCGGGCTGGTGACAGGACTACAGGGGTCATGAGTACGACTGAACCCGTGTTCTACCTGTGACAAGGGGCACAGTGGGGAGAGGAGGCAGGATGCAAGATAGAGCTGAGGCAGGTGGCAAGATAGAGCTGATGTTCTTGCTCACCAGTTCCTCACTGCTCCCTCGAGCTCTGCTGTGATAGCGGGAGCCGAAATATGACATCACTCCGGCCCAGCATTGCTAAACAGCACATGAGGGAGCAGTGAAGAAGAGCAGGAACATTACAGGAGCCACCAGACCCTAGGGGAAAGATCCCCACTAGACCCCAGGGAGAGGACGCACACCAGTACTCCCAAAGGTGGAGAGTCTGGATGGACCTAAAAAAATTAAATACAACCACAATAAGTAAAATTAATTTGTGAGTGTGTGTGCAAGAATGTGTAAATATGTGAGTGTGTCTTTCAGTGATTGAGTGTCTATCGGTGACTGTCTGTTTGTGAGTGCGTTTCAAATCAGTGTCTGTCGGTGAGAATGTGTGTTAGTGTTATTGCCAGTGAGTGTGTTTATGAGTGAATGCCCGTCAGTGTGTGAATGTCAGTTAGTGTGTATGTGTCTTTCGTTGAGTGAGTGTGTGTGTGTCTTCAAGTGAGTGTCAGTGAGAATGTATGTCTGTCACTGAAAGTATATGCCAGTGTGTCAAATCAGTGAGTGTATATGTCTCTCAGTGAGAGTGTGTGTCTGTTTACAAAAAGAGGTGGTGCTTATAGATTGAGAGGTAGGGCCATTGCCATAGATACATGCATGTCTGGACTGAACATTTGTAAAGGGAAGGGGTTAGAAAGATGACCATGCCCATCTGAGGGCACCATGTCTTTGTGACCCTAAATTCACCCCTTGGAGCTTTGATTGGACAAGAGAATATTGGCAGGGTTATTCTCTAAAGTGTAAGTTGTCAGAAATTTAAAGTACATTCAAAGTGAACATAAAACTTTAAGCCAAAATAACTGTACGAAAATTGTCATAAACGTGACTTTGATTTTCAAATAATTCACACTTTATTAAATAATATTTTCAGTGAAATTCCAGGAGTTATCCTGTAACAGCGTGGTTATCCAATGGAATGCACATGTAATATAATATGTGTACTTATTGTACATGAGCAATTTCTCCCTTTAACTTGATGTTTTACGTGTAATACAATATATGTGTCTATTTTACGTAAGCATTTTTTACATTTCATGTTTAGTGAGTATTATGTTACTTTTTTTTATTTTTTTTCAATTTTCTCTGGAATACAAATGTAGCATCATAATAGTGCAATATATTTATACCTTGTTAAGCTTATTTTTTTTAAATAATTTTCTTCAGTTAAAACTGAATACAATATTTCTAACTAATCTGTATTTTTGTATTTTTTTCCTTGAGTACTTTGGGAACTCATTTTTACGATTATCTTTATTATTCTCCCTACACAATGGGATTCTGGGTACTAATTAGCTAATCCCGCATTCAGCTTGGCCTATGCGGTATTAATCTAAATACCAATAATAACTGAAACTCCCTAGGCTTTAATGTGACTCAAATTCAAATAATTCAAAGTGAATTTCAAATTTAAGGCCAGAGTAGACAAACTGGAATCATAGCTGACAGATAATTTTTCCGATTCAGCTAGTTTGACCTTATATTTGAAATTCACTTTGAATTAAATTCTCACTTAAATTAAAAAACAAAATCAAAACCCTGTATGTTTCTGATTCGAATCCTCCTATGAAATTTATCTATGTATATTGGGTGGGGCAAAATTCAGAGCAGAGTTTGTGGAGTCAATAACTTTTTTTTTTATTAATGAACCAATTTCAATGATATTACATATAATAAATGCTTAACCTATGGAGATTTGTTTGACTAGGAAGATGGCATCTATTAAATGAGCTCCATTTGCAAAGTCGGCTATTTCGATTCCATTGTTCATCACATTAGTTAATGTTCGAGGCTCTGGTGCACAAATTTCTGCAATTTCTGCAAATTTCTTCTTGAGCTTCATTTTGTTCACGTAAACCCGCTCCTTCAAATATCCTCAGAGGAAGTAATCGGGAGCTGGAAGGTAGGGCGAACATGGCGGCCAATTAATCTGGGAATTTTGTGCTGAATATTTGTCTCAGTTTTGAAGAAAAAATTCCACTATTTTTACACGTTATTCCTTTAATCTCCGTTAATTATTCCATTAATCTCCCAAGACTCAGGTATAATATGTACCTGCAACAAAAAATGGTACTACTAACACGTTTATTAAACCAGTCAAATCCAACTCTGAATTTTAGCTCACCCTCTATATATACTTGGCATGCTGAAATCACAAGTTAAAAAGGATCCATTGAT